TGTCTGTCCACCTTCCTTCCTTCTTCCCCTCTTACCTGGCTCCTATGCTGTGATATATATTTTTGTATTATCTCTTTCTTCTTCTTGTGGTGATAATCTTGAATTCTTGTGGGATGTAAGTTTCAAATTTTTCAAATAAAGCCTTTGCAAGATACTTGGGTCCCCTGGTTCTGCTTTATGATCCTGTAGAGAGGGAGGGAAAGAAGGATGAGGTGGGGACCCACTCAGCCCTGCAGACCTGCCAACTCTGACCTTGAGCTGGAAATTAGGGGCTTTAACAGGATGGAAAGAAGGAGTAAGCCGAGAAACTGATGGGAGTAGCTCTGAGGACGAGCAGCTCATGCAGGAGAGAGTAGAATAGTAGCTTGCTTGTTACTTGCCAGTGAAGGTCAAGAGAGACCATGAGAAAGGAGACAGAAGAAAAATGAAAATTATGGAGAATGTCAGTCAATTGAGCAAGTAAGAAGAAGAGGAGAGGGCAGATGAGGCAGATGGAGGGTGAGGGGTGAAAGGAGAAGGAGGGGAAAATGGAACAGTGGCAAAGATGAGAGGCAACCATAAGAAGCTGCTTGATTTTCAGCCTTCCTGCCTAACCTTACCTAACCTGAAACTGCTCCCCAAAAGCTGTGCAATATTAGAGGTTCTGTGATGAGCTTTCATTGGCTCTGTATTCTGTTTTCTTGGAGGGCGGAGGGGAGAGGACAGAAAGACACTGCTGGGTTATGGAGGTAGAATCAATGGGTGTGTTTGAGAGAGGGAGAACAGGCTACCCAGCTGGGACCAGTCACCTCAGAGCCCCCACTTCTAGGTTTGGCTCTCTCTGGTACCAGCCCAGCAAAAGCCCACACATCAGTCTCTCAGCTGTTGCCAGACTCTGTTGCCATGGAAACCATCCAGGTCCCATTCCCTACCCCCAATCTGTGCCCCACTTGCTCCCTGGAAATGGGATAGCTTGAGAGGGTGGAAGACAGTGAAGTGTGCAAGAAGGCTGCTTGGGATACCCGGGACTACAGCTACCTCCCTGTGTTTATCTTTGAAGCTAGAATTAGGGATGTGTCTGTGTTGGTAGGTGTGCGTTTTAGGCATTTGGGAGCTTTACTGTGTACTAAGGGAAGTGTGGCTGAGTTCATGCAGCAGCCATGGTGAGTGTGGGGAGGAGGGAGCGTGTTTTTCAGGGTTGGAGCACTGTGTGCTTGCAGGGCGTCAGACTTCCTCAGAAAGGGACAGACTGCTACAGAGAAAAGGCGCAGAGTGGGGCCAAAGAGTGATAAGCCAACTAAAAGCAGAGGTATGAGGAAAATAAACTTCTGAGGGGGCTTTAATCAACCCCAGTGGGCCTGAAGAAATCCCAGCCAGCAGCAGTGGCAGCCACAGCCTTGGGAGAGAAAGCTGGGTAGCACCTTAGGGTGCTAATGGGATGTGGTGGAGCACCTGAGGGTGCAGTAGAGGTGCTGATGGGATGCAGTGGAGGAAAGAAAGAATTGGAGAGAGGAATACGAGGAGGATGGGAAAGGAAGCCTCATTAACTTTTTTCTTCTTTCCCCACAGGAATCTAGTCCTTCTTGCTAGTGAGGCTGGGGGCTGGGGACTAGGAAGAGGGGCACTGGCACCATAGGGAAAGATGCTCAAGTGCCTTGAGGGCACGCATGCAGCTCTGTCACCTTCTGGCAACTATCGGAGGGACAGTGTGACCCCAGGGCTCATACATATGCAAAAGGCACACAAGAAGGTCCCTAATGAAGAGGGAATTAATTACTGCCTGATTAGACTGCTGTTTCTCTAAATTTAAATAAATTTAAATACACCAGCAAGACACTGGAAAATCCTCACCTGTTCCCTCTCCCTAATTGCCCTCCTTCCCCATGGAAAGTCAGATGACAGAGAGACAGAGGAGCAAGGAGGCCATCCTAGTCTCCTATTGTAATTAAGTGTGTGGAGTTGGTTCTAGTGAGACACTGTATAGGGTTTCCAAGGAGTGGGCTGATGGATGTGAATTTCCCACCTTGCAGTTCAAACTGACCTTGTGGGCCAGCGCTTACCCTATAGAGCCACACCTGGACTCCATCCTAGTCTCCTAAAGAAATGATCCCAAACTAGATCACATTGTCATGCTAATTTAAAGATTGGAAACCCTGAGGAACAGATCCTAAACTTTTCTCTCTTCCTGGAGTTGAAACAGAGGGCCTTGGGAGGTCTTCAGAAGGTTTCAAGTGGTCGGACAGAGAGTTACCACTTAGTGACAGACCAAGAGCATAAACAATGGCCATATTGCCTTCTTGAGAATCAGAAGATTCCTGGAAGGCCACACTTCACTGGCACTCCAGGACCAGTATGTCTCAAAATGCTTTCCTCCCTTCCTGGGCTGTGCATCAAATGACTCAGCCAAACTTCCCTTAAGCATTTTTCTGGAATGCTTACCATTGTGGCTCAGACCAAACCAGGGAATGGGGAAGCCCCCAGGAGGAGGGATCTCCCAGGCACAGCTCAGGGTGTGGAAATGATTCAAGATAAAAACAGTGTGCCAGCTGGAGAACCCTAGGCTAAAATTAACAGCCCTCCTCCCCTACGCCCCACATTTATCTCTCAAGCTTTTCTCTAAGGAGTCCAAAGCACTTATATTTGCTGCTTATAACCAGAGCAGGAGCACGACTGACAGATGAAGACACTGAGGCCCAGGAAGTACCAATTAATGTAAATAGGAAAAGGAATCAGCACTTAAGAGTTATTTCACTTTTTTGTTGTCACTTTTCCATTCCAGCCCCCCAAACCCAAAGTCAAGGGTTCTCAAAATCAGCAGTCTCTAACTCATGCAGTAACTAGGCTTTGGTTACCTCTGAGTCCTTAGAACCCATATCATTCTGCCAAATGTTGCTGCTCAGTCCAGCAACTGTACTGCTGAGTCCAAAACTGTAATTTGTTGTTACTAAGTGCCATCTAGTCGGCTCCGACTCATAGCGACCCTGTGTAGGGTTTCCAAGGAGCAGCTGGTGAGCTTGATCTGCTGACCTTACAGTTCAAATGGCTTTGCAGTCTGGCGCATTAACCCACAGCACCATACCAGGACACCAAAAATGTGACAGACACTAAAAAAGATTAAAAACAAAACAAAAAAACAACTAAATTACAAGCCAAAGATAAACATTATCTGTTTAAATATTTAATTTAAATGCTTATTTTTAGGTATCTGTGCTAATTCCTTGCTGTGACCTTGGAAAGGTAACGAATCTTCAGAGTTTTATTTTAACTATGTGTACAATGGGCATTATAATTTAGGTTATTTTGCTCTCTAAACAAGGGGCTGCTATTTGTGTGCTGTATTGTGACAGAGCATAACTGCCCTATAGGATTTTCTCGGCTGTAATTTTAGGGAAGCAGATCCCCAGGTCTTTCTTCAGTGAAGCCACTAGGTGTGTCTGAACTGTGCACCTTTAGGTTAGTAGCTGAGCACTTAACCATTTGCACCACCAGGGATCATTAAAAAACTACTGTGGCTCAAACTCAACAGCCGTTCCTCGAAAACCCTATACAGGGTCACTATGAGTCAAAACCAACTTGATGGCACTTAACAACACTACTATTAATATGAAGGTTTTCCATTATGCTTCAGCTAAAATGGAGCTGAGCCCAGGATTCTGGCCAGATCAGGGCACAGGCTGGTGGCAGCATTCATTTGCTCATACAACATATATTTGCATCTATTATGCACTCAGCAAAGCAATATGATACCATGTATAAGCCAGTTTCTTCCCTGAAGAAACTGACAACGTTGCTGTGGAGTCACATATATGACATAGTTAAAAAAAAAAATTGCAATAAACAGTACAGACTATTAAGTGTTGTAGAAGTTTGAGAGAGACCATTATGATTGCAGCAACATAAGGCAGTTTATTCATTTATGCAATAAACGTTTACTGACCACTTACTAATGTCAGGTTGTGAGAATACAGTGGTGGTCTTGTCCTCATGGAGCCTAAATTCTTGTGGGAAAAGCTGGACAGTAGATAAAAATTACGTAATAGCAGGTTCCGGGATAGAGGCCAACAGGAACATAAAGACCAAAGCACAGAGTGAAAGGTGTGGTGTAAGATGGATCATATTTTGATGCCTGGGAAAAATTATTAATTACTCTCTGACCCTGAGTGGGGACTTCAGAAAACTATTGACACATTCTTATCCTTTCCCCGCACATCCAAAGAGCTGAAATATTCTTAGGGGTAAAAGAAAAACTGCCTGTTCTTGTAGTTAAGTGCCATCGAGTTGGTTCCGACTCAGCGACCCTTTATAGGGTTTCAGAGGAGCAGCTGGTGGGTTTGAACCACCGACTTAGTGGTTAACAATCATCAAGGTATTAAGGTATTACACTCTGAAGGAGAAAAGGAACCCTAGCATTTTAAGAATCCATACTTCCCGTCGAACCTTGATGCACCATTTATGAACCTGTTGCGTTTCCGCCCTCCTACTTCCCCAGCAGTCCCTTCCGGAAGCCTTGGACTATGGTTCTGAGAGTCCAGCTTCTGCCCCTAGCAGAACCTGCTTACACTTCCGTTGTGACGTCATATGCACGGAGCGTTCTACGGTATCCCTGGGCAGAAGCCATTTCCGCCCCTGCTTGTCGTAACTTCTGCCCGGAGTATCCTGGAGCCCTTGCTAGCAGCGCCGGACGTGCTCTAGACGCTCCCGGAAGTGACTCGGCCTTGCACCCCCCCTCCCCCCGCCCGCTTTTCCCATTACCGCCCCCCACATTGCTATTTCCCTCCCTCCCCCCTTTTGGTTTCCGGCTCCCGCCTTCTCCGTGCAGCGGCTCTACTCTAAGCCTTTGGGGGGGGGGAGGGAGGGAGGGAGGGGGGCGTGGAGGAACTGGAGTTCTTGGGAGTACGAGTGGCAGCACCACTTCCGGGTGAGTGAACGAGGAGGGAGGGGGGCCACCCACTGCCTCGCGCCCCCGCCCTGCGGGTGTCTCGCGCGCATTCCGTGCGTGTGAGTGTGTGGGCCTGTCTCGCGCCTAAAGTGCGTGCCCGCGCTTCTCCGCGCTTCCCCCTCCCTTCGCCCCCTGTTGGCCCTCCCACCCCACTCGGCTCCTTCCTTTTCCAGCAAACGCCGCCCCTCCCGCGCTCTGACTCTAGCTCTGGCGCCGCCGCAGCCGTCGCCGCCGGGTGAGTCTCGCGCCGCTACCGCCGGCGCGCGCCAAGCTCTCTGCTCCTTCCTCCTCCCATTTTCTTTGGGGGGGCGGAGACGGGGGTCCACGATGTGACTGTATGTGTGTCCGTCCCGGAACCGGAAGTGGTTGTGTAGGAGCGGGCGATGGGGAGGAATGGGGGGGGGTGTAGGGGGCGGGTGTCTGTCTGGTAGGTAGCAGAGTTCAGCTCCCTGGAGGGGAAGGAGGGGCGTCCGGAGGAAGGGTCTTTAAGGAAGGGGTGTGGGGCGACAGCAGAAGGTTCTCAGGGGCTGTCTTAGAAGAGTGAAGATTTTTGGGGGGACAGCTGGAGTCCCCAATAGATAGACCACTGTGCAGGCTAAAGGAGGTACTTCTTGGCCTAAGGCCTAGGGTAGGCAGGGGGCGAAGTCCTCTCAGAAGTAGGGGGAAGCCAGAGGAAGTGGCTGGGCCTGGACTGGCACTGTGCCTGACACCGGTCTTGTGCATCCCCTCTCAGCCTTCAGCTTTGCTTTCTGAGCCACTCATCAGAGGCAGGGACATTCCTCCTCTTGCAACTCTTATGAATTCTCTGACCTTTGGTTACCTGTGGCCCTGGACTGAAGACGAACCAGTGTCTAAAGCCAGGAGTGGATTCCATACGCTTAGTTCATGAAAATTGGATCTATTTCCCTTGTATCCTCATACGGGCTGACACTGCTCTCCTGCTGTTATATCCGTTCATCTTTGGATTGCTGGAGATCTGCCTGCCTTCCAGACTGACAGCTGACTGTCAAGGAATTCCTGAGGTGCTTCATAGGTCTCTGGTGATTGCACTTTTCCTGGCCCCTGTAACTCTGACAATTTGTTTACAGAAAGTTCTGGAGCCCTGGAAAGGAGAAGGAATAAAACGGCAGGAGGAAGAGAGAGAGAGGGTAAGAAATTTTAGGTTAGTGGCTTTTCTTTGGGGGGCAGGGAGAAGGGGTTGTTTTTGACTATGTGACATTTTTCAAGTTATAGTACTTGGAATGGTGGTGGTTGCCTCTTTCCTACCAATTATCACTTAAAGATATCAGGAAGTTTTTGTAAAAACTTGGCATTGTACCTGTATCAGGCAACATCCCCAAGAGGACTCATCTGGAATACAATGTGAAATGTTAAGTGAAGCTACTGGATAGTGTTTGCTTTGAGTGCAAAGGAAACACTCTGTTTTGGGGACACATGACCCTGGTTGCCAGTATATTCCTTGTGCCATAGCTTATGGAATTGTATTTGTAACAAGTAGAGCTGAGTTTAGAGTACAATTTCTGTCTTTATTCCAGTGGAGAATTGAAGTGGATCTGCTGGCTGATGATAACAGGGTTATTTGAATTTGGTGTGGCAGGGTGAAATTTTTCAGGAAAATGACTGACTTGTAGGTAGTTTGAAGTAAACAAATAAAATGTATGTCATGGACTCCAGAAGTAGAGCTGAAAGAATTCGGAGTATGAGGCTTGATGGGTATGGTGAGAGTGTGCTTTATCCCCAAAATGACAATATATGGAACTTAAAAGAATTTGCATTCAGAGATCATAGGGGTATCTTTTAGGAACCAGCTCCAGGATGGTTTCTGAGCTCAAGTCAGTGGATAAATATTAGGTGCATATCCCCATTTTTCTAGCCCTTTTCTTATTTTTACTTTGCTTTTTCCCAGATCCATCATTTTTAGTGGAATTGGCAGAGCAAGGGGAACTGCTATAACGTTCTTCCCATAGGCTGCAATAGTAGCCCAGCTGTGCCCACAGTAAAAACTGCAGGCTCAGATTGCCAGCTATGTAATAGTTCTGTTGATCTCTTTAGGCTTGGTGTGATGGTGCTTACCAACAGAATTGGGATAAACCTGTTGTAAGTTATTTTGTAGTTAGAGTTAACAGATAGTAGGTAGGTCCTAAAGCCTATTGGATGACCTTCTTGGTGGATATCCTTAGGCTCTGAGAGAAAGATTTTATTTTCTTATTGAGAAAAATTGGTTTGCTGTGTTTTTTCAAGTTCTCAGCTGATACTGCAACCATTCTGCAAATGCACATTTTGGAGTGATTTCTATCCCTGTGTGGAGCAAACATTTGCACTCAACTACTAGGAGTGCTGGTGTGGTGCTGTGTGTGGATCAGTGTACTGGACTGCAAAGTCAGTTTGAACCAGAAGGTCGGCGGTTCAAGCTCACCAACCGCTCCTCGGAAACACTATACAGGGTCGCTATGGGTGGGAACTGACTCGCAGGCACTTCACAACAACAACTAACTTAAAGTTTGGCAGTTTGAACCCACCCAGTGGTGCTGAAGAAGAGAGGCCTAATGATCTCCTTCTGTAAAGACTACAGCCAAGAAAACTCTGGAGTACTTCTTTGAAACCTGTGAGAGCCGGAGCTTAATGGAACTTCCTTATTTTCTGGGTCTCACAAGTTTTCTGTCTTTGACTTTTCTATTGCTCATTTTTATGGAAAATATTTGAATTTTCCTTCTCTGACATGTTTCCACCTTACACAGTTTCCAACTTTTGTAAGTTTTATTGTAACACATGGGCTCACCACGGGTGGGAATGGACTCAAGGGCAATGGATTTGATTTTGTTTTCCCTCCAAAAAGTGGCTAAGATCCATGGGTCATATTCTTTCTGTAGTCGAATTTGAATAGATTGTTCTTTGTATCTCTTTTTTCTTTTTATGCTTCTTCATGTTGATGATTATTAAGCTGGAGGCTATAAATCTGATACTTTTGAGTAGTTCCCTTTGTAATTATGTGGTTTTTATGTAATTTTCACTAATTATAACTAATAGTTCTCATCACAGTGCAAGTGTTTCTCTAATTCTCTTCCCTTCAGGAGCTCTTTGAGGACTTTTTCTTTTTGTGCTATCTTCCTTGCATCACCATTTGCTTTGGGAACTTCCTGTAAGGGGTTCATTCTCTTCCCTCCTCTGCCCAAATAGAATTTTTTGGAGTAAAATATCTAGAGTCATCCACTGATGATATAGGACCTAGAATTAAAATTCAAAGTCTCAATTTCTAAGTCCATTCTTTAGCTACTCAGTTTGGTTGATGCAAGTGTTTTGTGATTTTCTAATGGCCCAGTTTGTTATGGGAATGTTATTTTCTTGTGAAAAGAAAATCTTGCTGCACTTGAAAAACAAACAATTTTTAAAAATTGTAGTGGTAGCTAACAGGAAAGAGGTGGTGGTCTCCACTTTGTCTACTAAAACCACAGGCTAGAGACATCTTTATCCTGGATGGTTGATAGCACTGTAGAAGGATGTAGTCAGATGGACAAAATGCTGGTCCAAGAGATCTGGTATTACTGTGATTTGTGTTGTTTTTTGTGTACAGATGGGATTTCCCCGTATTAGTAGGGTTGTAATAAGGTGGACACATGCCTACTTGGATGTTGGAGTAAAGCCTTCATTTCTCACTCTCCAACTGATGTCATTTTAGGGGTATTGTTCAGTGCTGTTGAGTCTGTTCCAACTCGGCAACCTTATACAGGGTTTCCAAGGCTGCATATCTTTGCTGTTAAGTGTTGTCTAATCAGTTCTGACTAATAGAGATCCTGGATAGGGTTTCCGAGGAGTGGCTGCTGGGCTTGAACCACCAGCTTCAGTCAAGCATTTATCCTACAGCACCATGCCAGTATTCTATCTATATACTCACCTTTATCAGAAGTTCACAAGGCACATGTATTATCCTGTCCATGACCTGCTATGGTTCTGATCTTCAGCTTTGTTCTCTTAAGAATCAGATCAAATGTTCCTGAATTGTACGAGGGGACGGCAGAAGTCCATGGAAAAATCCCATTATCTTTTAAATCCATTTTTTTCATGAACTTTTTTGAAGCACCTTTCTTCATACATACAGAAATTTGGATTGATTCATGGTTTTGCTGTGTGTATTCTCAACAACAACAAAATGAAACAAATCACGAGCCCCATAGGTTGGGTATGTAAGTAAGTGGAGGGGCCTTTCATTTAAACCCCTCTCCAGTCAGGCCTTGTTTATACAGATTTTACTCTAAAATCAGTTATCCTGGCAACTAAATCAGGTTTCACAGGCTGTGTAAAGAGAATATGGTCAGAACTGTGTTTATTGTTTCACTATTACCAAAGTCTTCAATTCTGAAAATAGTTATTGAGAACTACCTAGAAAATGTATAGTCCATTCTGGAAATATTCTAAGTTCTAATTCCTGGATCATGATAAACATCAGAATTGTATAGTTGAGTTGTATGGATTAAGTCCCTTGTAGAACCTCTTTCCTTGAGTTGTTCTTTGGTGCTTGGATTTAGATACCTGCATAGGTTTGTGTCATAGATTTGACCCACTGAAAAATGGGGATTACAGTACCTACCCCATAGTGGTGCTCTAGGGTAAGCACTTGACTGCTAATCACAAGGTGATCAGTTCAGACTAACCATCTGCTCCTTGTAAACCCTGTACTGGGTCACTATGAATTAGAACTGACCAATGGCACTTAACAACAACAACACTTCATAGAATTGTTGTGGCATTTAATTGATATAATAGTTACAATGTGCTTAGAATAGTACCTTGTGTAGAATAAACCCTTTAATATTAATGATGATGGTGACGTCAGTGATGATATGTCTACTACATCACTTTGTGTGCATATTTATAAGCACGTTTATAAGATATTTTCCTCAGAAATGCTGCTTCATGAGTAGGACAGTGTGAATGGATAATAAATCTTTTTAGTGGAGCAGTGGGAATTCATAAGAATTCTATCTGAGGGCATTCTTATTTTCAGGCTTTCTGTTCCTCCCTCCTAAAATTTCACATCTGTAATACAGTTACTTCCATGACTGAGCGTGGGAGAAGTCTGTGTTAGACATGCCTTTCTTTTAGTCTTCACTCAAATTCTCTACATAGCTCTCTCCATCCATCACCACTCTTGCCATTTCATTGCTCTCAGCTAGAAAATTAAACAGATGGGGATTGCAATTAAGATTTGATCCCCTAGCATTATTTCCAAAATATGTGAATGTAGATTCTTCTGCTGGTTAGTTCAGTAAATGTGTGATTGTCCTGTATAAAACTATAAAACCGAAACTAAAGCCCATTGCCATCAAATCAGTTCCAACTCATCATGACCCTGTATAGGGTTTCCAAGGCTGTAAATCTTTACCAGATCAAAAAGCCTCATTTAGCTCCCATAGAGTGACTGGTGGGTTTGAACTACCGACCTTGTGGTTAGCAAGCCAGTGCTTTATCTTACAGAGCCACCAGGGTTCCTTGTCAGGTATTATGGGGAGGTACAGATGTAGAGAGTGTTTGCCTTAAAGAGCCTGTGAGATTGAATTCCCTGTAAACTGTGATCTGATTGGGTTTCAATTTTATTGCCTCATGAGGACCTGAGCCTCATTTATAAAGTCAGTGCAAGAAGGCCTAGGTTAACACCTAGTGTCTGGTCTCACATATTTTATAACTCAAAGAAACAGGATTTGCTGGTAGCTGATCCCTGGTCATTTAATATTGAGAATTATTTTATAAAGGTGTTGTAGTCACAGATTTGGCACATTTTTCTTCCATACTTTTTAAGAAAATATAGACTGCGATTCAGTTTTGCTTTTCTTTACATAAATTTTATGAGTAGTAAGAGTGCTGTTTCATAGAGAAAAAAATATGATGAGATTTCTAGAGACATGTAAGAACAGGTTTACATTTCCTTTTTGTTTCAATGCCATTGTTTCAATTCCTAATTTCCTTAATCATTACTTGAAATCCAGTTTCTGTGTCCAATCTACTCTTTATCTCTTAGTATCTCTGCTTTCTGCTCCCAGCACATCCTCAGTGGACCTAATGTGACTATAAGGTACCTGTACCTTGTTGCTCTCAGTTCAGAGTAGCATTGTCCTGATAATGTTTATTTCCTACTGATCTCCGTCCCATTCCATCAATATACTCCCTGTTAACCTACCTTCTGCTGGGCTGCATCTTTCTTGGTCTAGATTTTGGGAAGCTACTCTTGACCAGCATACAGTCAATTAAGTGTTTCCAGGGGAAGTGATCAGAGTGTGAAAATTGGGTGGTGGGATACCTGAAGTCTGTACTCATCAGTAACTTGCAAGGTAATCCCAAGTGTTTTATATGTCACTTCAAAAGTTTTAAGCTTATCATTCACATGAAAGAAGAATTTGAACTCTTGGAAGCATAGTGTTTGAGAATATATAGTTGTCCCTGTTCTGAATTCCTTTAGGTGGACATCTGGGATACTGCTACTGCTGGTGCCAGAATCCTTTTTTAAACTGGTAACTCCTGGGCTTTCACTGCTCACCCTTTTTGTGTGGGACACACCAACATCATGAATGTTCTTAGACCTTAGTGAGGCTGGTGGGGCACAATCACCAGATATCAACTGGTACTCAAAGAGTACCTAGATTCTGATTCCTACCAACTTCATTCTTTGATTCGCTTAAGGATTTTGTGCTCTGACCTACAGCTTTTCCCAAGCTATGTAGAGCTGTAGAGCTATAGATACGTTACTTGGAATGCTTGAAATTTTTCTTTCAAGAAAGACAGATTTGAGGGTTTAAGGAAAAGAGGAACAGTAATAAGTACAGTGATTTGCTTTGTGGGACCTTGGGCACATCCCTTTCTCTCTCTTGGTCTCATTTTCTCTCTTTGTCAGTAAAGGAAAGTAAAATAGATTAGGCTTCTTTGGGACGTGGGAATAATTCTGTGGATACATGAGCTATGTATAAGTTCTTCACTGACATTAACTAGGACAGCATCTGTAGGATAGGGATATAATTCTGATTGGCTTTGATCAAGGATACTAATATCCTAGAATCCAAGGTCTTGACTACTAATTCTCAGCCTTGTGGTCAGATGCCAAAGAAGACACCAATGAAACCCCTCGCCTCTCTCTCCATTGCTGAGCTACTTCAGATTTATTCCTGAGTGTGATGTGCTCTCTATTTCTTTCTTCAGGTAGAATGGAAGAATCTCACTTCAATTCTAACCCGTACTTTTGGCCTTCTATCCCCACAGTGTCGGGACAGGTAGGTGGTGTTTGCTAACTTTGTCACTTCTCCCCCATTGTGTACTTTTAAAAAATCTGAGTAGGTGATTCTGTTATTTAGGAGATTATAGAAAGGTGACCTACATGCTGCTCCACCAAGCCCCACATCACTGAAAATTATATAGTAGTGTTTCTGCCTTGGCTTCTCTCTGGAAGCACAAAGATATTAATTCCTTGTTCCTTGATCTCCAAGGAAGAGGACAAACTATAACAGATTCTTATAGAGTAGACAAAATCAGATTCTGTCCCAGTCTGAAGATGGTGCACCCTTCCGCCTTCCTTTTCTTTTAGATTGAGAACACAATGTTCATCAATAAGATGAAGGATCAACTGTTGCCAGAGAAAGGTTGTGGGCTGGCTCCACCTCACTACCCTACCTTGCTGACTGTGCCTGCCTCAGTGTCCCTGCCTTCAGGCATCAGTATGGACACAGAATCCAAGTCAGAGCAGCTGACCCCACACAGCCAGGCGTCCGTTACCCAGAATATTACTGTGGTCCCTGTGCCGTCTACAGGACTTATGACTGCTGGTGAGCAACTCTGCTCTTCTCCAATCTGAGGTGTTGATCTTCACTGATCAGTACCCCAGGCTGGAGGGTTACAAGGACATGGGGTGTGGGATATGTGTTTGATTACTCAATCAGATTTTTATTAAGTGCCTACTGTGTGCCTAGCAATGTGCTAGGCATTGTGGGGGATACAAAGAAGTAGAAGATGCGGTCCCTGCCTTTGAGGAGGTGACATTCTTTCCTTCTCTGAATCAAGGAGTCTCCTGTTCTCAGAGGTGGAGAAGAGAAGGGAGTCAATCAAGGGGTAAATCTCACTGTTACCAGGGGGGTGGGGGCAAGGGTTAGGAGACCATTATTTTTCTACAGGGTTTGGGGTTTCCTACATACTCTGGGCTGGGGGGTGGTGGTGAGGGGTTATTTAGACAATTGTCTGGGGAAAGTGAAATGAAATAGAATTGGGCAATGTAACACGAACTCCTTTTTTCTCCCAATCTAGGTCCAGGTTTGGTAATCACGTCCCCCTCAGGCTCTCTTGTGACCACAGCCTCATCAGCTCAGACCTTCCCCATTTCGGCTCCCATGATTGTCTCAGCTCTTCCCCCTGGCTCACAAGCTCTGCAGGTGGTCCCTGACCTCTCCAAGAAGGTAGCATCAACCCTAACAGAAGAAGGAGGCGGAGGTGGTGGTGGAGGTGGCAGTGTGGCTCCTAAAGCCCCCCGGGGCCGGAAGAAGAAGCGGATGCTGGAATCAGGGCTTCCTGAGATGAATGACCCTTACGTCCTCTCCCCTGAGGATGATGAAGACCATCATAAAGACGGCAAGACTTACAGGTAGGAACCAGTGGGTATTGCCTCAGCTTTCCCTACCCTTTTGTGTCCTGCCCCAAATCAGGTTCCATATTCTGACAGCCTGAGGTCCATGTGCATGTCAGGTGTTCTGTCGTGGGATAAAGGCAGAGCTTCTAGCACTTTCCAGTGCCTCTTTCCCTGGGATGCAAGCCAGATATCAATATAATGGTTTTTTACCCCAGCCTTGAGAGTCTTCAATACTGACTTATTTTTGAGGGACAGAGTGTAGTTTCTGTCTTTAATAATGCTTTAGACTTGGTTTGAGACTTTGTGTCCACCTCTTTGTTGCTCTACATTTCCATTCCTATTTTTATGAGAAACCTTTCTGGTAAGCACCTAACCTAACTTGTGTGACATCTATAGGTTTTGGGGTCATATTTATGTGTGAGCATTGAGCCTGGCAGAGCCTGCATGGTTGGGATGATGGGAAGAGGGACCTATATAAAAAGGTGGGAGGAATAGGATGCCTCCTCCATTTGGGGTTTTATGTTGATAAAATGGCTGTCTGCTCACTTCCTGATTCATAGAAGTCCTTTTGATAGATTATTTACTCCAAGCTTTCTATTACCAAAAAGTATTATATGTCTATTTGCATGTGATACTATACAAAAGTAATTACCTAAGTAAACTCCCTGCCCTTTGGAAGTTGTAAGTCTTTAATCACTTTGAAAACTGTGAGGGCCCTAATGGGTTATGGGGAGTTTGCCCTCAGTGTACAGAGTGGGATAACCACTGTCACAACTTGGAGGCAGACAGGGGCAGATGTGCATGGCTGGGAGACTGGGTCTGTCCTTAGTGTACCGAGATGGGCAATGTTGTTCCCATTTTAGGAGCGAAGGGAACTGCGGCACAGGAAATGGACAGAGCCTTGGGCTCATGGATTCAGTTCCCGGCTCCACCACGAACTTGCTGTGTGACCCTGGGCAAGTCCTTTTCCCCTCTCTGGGCCTCAGTTTCCTCATCTGTAAAATGGGGAGAATTCTGTTTATGCCTCCCATTTGTTGGGAGTATATTTCAGATAAGATTTGAAATGTTGGGAACTTCGAAGGAAAAAACTAAGAAATAGTCATCATAAGCATTTATTTTTATTTGCATTGTACAGTTCTACTGTGAAGAGTAGCCACAACTACACAATGTTTAACTCCCTCTTTGTTCGTGAAAATGAGGGTAGTGTTGCTGTGTAGGACGTAGTGAACACTGCAAAATCCCAGCTCATAAGCTAAAAGTTCATTGCAACTTTAATAATATAGGTGTACTCATATACAATAAAAGTATTCCTAAAAATGTTTACATCATATCATGTTACAAAAGTACCTGGCAAGTTTCATTCATTTAAAGGTATTCTTTTATGTATCATTTATAAATGGAAACTCCTATTTAATTTATTGTGTAGAAATCTAGATTTGTTTAAAGTGAGTCATGGTGACATGGACATTAACCATTATAAAATTTGTTGTAGGAGTGGTGGGGAGATTGTCCAAAAACCACTGGAACCTTTCAAGTGGTTCAGGGTCCTCTGATTCTACCAGGGCTTTAATTTTGTCTTCTGGACTGGTGTGAGAGCTATCTGGACTCTCCAAACTCTGTGCGGAAAGGAGTGTGAATATACAGTTGGGAGAAAGCCCTATAGGATTCTTCCTTTCCTCCATGATTTAGGAATCCTTGGCAGGCCACATTCCCAGGTGACTAAAGAGAATTGAAGATTAAGAGGGATTAATTATGTTCTGTGGAATCCTGGTGTGGTACTGTGGGTTAATGCACAAGGTCAGCGGTTCAAGCTCATCATTTACTCCTTGGAAACCCTGTACAAGGTCACCATGGGTCTAACCAATTGATGTCACTTAACAACAATTATATTCTAGATAACAGATGGAATGTCTTCAAAAATTTAGAACACTGAAATTCCAAAAGAATTTTTTTAATCACAAAGAATCCTATTCACATGGGAGTAAGGCACATCTATTCCTGTGGCTAAAGGCATTTGACTGGGCATTGGGTTCTTTTACTCTGGGCAAGTCAGTGTAATACCCTAAATCTTTGTCTATAAAATGGGAAGATCCATCACAAGATAGGCTTCATCTGTCTTGTGGAAATTTTTGAAGGAAGAATATAAGTATCTGAAATTGTTTTGAGCATCTTAACAAAAAAAGTCAAATGATAAAGTAAATGTAACCAAGGCAATTAACCAAGGCAATTGCATTGCATACCTCCAAAGGCACCATTCTCATTGTGTTGGGTGTATACAGTTCCCGCTGGAGTTGTGCACCCATTTGCTTTTCTGCCCCTGCAAACTGCTATTGCCACAACCCTTTCCTAAATCAAATTTCTTCCCAACTATCCAAGATCTGGAGTCCTGGTGTGGCACTGTAGGATAAGCACTGGACTGCTAACTGTAAGGTATGCGGTTCAAACCCACTACCCTCTCCTCGGAAACCCTATGCAGGGTTGCTGTGAGTCAGTACTGACTTGATGACACTTTACCACAACATCTAAGATCTCATGGTAGAGGACTTTTACTCCTTTATAGGTGTCATAGAATCTCAGATTTGGAAACACTTAGATGATCTCCTCACCAGTGTTTCTCTCTAGTTTTAATCTTTTAAACATTCCCAGCAGGTGATTTGTCTAGCCTCGCCTTGGGTACCTCCAGTGTCAGGATTCTTAAATTAGGTTAAAATCATGGCATTGTGGTGAACAGCTGTCTGCCCTTTGACATATTACTTAACCTTCCTGAGCTTTTCTGGAAGACAGGGATACTATGGACTGCCAGGTGGTTGTGAGAAGTAGAAATAATATATTTAAAGTGGGTAAGTAGGGTGGTATGAGTTGAGATCACTCAAAGGCAGTGGATTTGGTTTCCTTTTAACAGAGGTCTGTCAAGAGCAAGCAGCAACAACTGGCAGCTATTTCTGTCATTATCAAGACTATACCCAGTACCTCTTGAAATTGCCTGTTTCGTGACCAGTTCATAATCAGTGACTTTTTGCAGATGGTAGTTCACAGGTTCTTTTCTAGTGGGACATTTTGAAGAAGAGAGTTTTTGTTTTTTTTAAATTAACATTAATGTTAGAGGTACAGTTGTGTGTTTGCACTTTAAAAACACCTCACACACTAATGAGACTTTGAGTTCAAATGAATGTTATCTTCTTTCTTTGGGAGAAATTTTAATAACCCAGTGAAATGGTAGTTTCTAGTGAAGACTGTAGTAGGTAGCCTGAGCTCACCCTATCAGCACCAACACAATTGTATTACTAGAGAACACTTGGCTTACCTGCACTGTCGTGGTGTTTGCTAGCCTTTTTGTTGTGTGTGGAGGGGGTTAGGGGAATCAGATACTTCTCTCCATTTTACAGATCGGAAATTTGAGGTCAAGATTAATGACAATCATATAACTGAGCCCTGAGTAGAATCTAGCTATCCAGATCTCTACTGGCTGTATCCTTGAGACCAGGCTAACAATAAACAGACTATCCCCACCTCTTATACTGTGATTGAGCATCCTAGACAACTATCTAGGGATTAGTAAGCTGATAGTCAGACTTCATTCCAAGATATCAAGTGAATAGAGAAATGAATGGTGGTGGTGGTGGTGGTAGTGTGCCTTGGAGTAGGTTCCAACTCATAGCGACCCTGCATAGGGTTTCTGAGGCTGCAAATCTTTACGGGAGCAGAAAGTCATATCCCACATAACAGCTAGTAGTTTTGAACTGCTGACCTTGATGTTAGCAGCCTGACTCGTAACCAGAGCACCTGAGAAATGAATAGTGGCTTTAATTATTAGAATTTATCTAAATATTAATACAGGGACCATATCCCAACTAATAGTGGTGTCTTTTCGTGAGAAGCTTGGTGCTCTTTTTAGCCAAGTTGTCATATACTCTTAAGATTTCTCCTGAGTTCAGAAAAAATGTAGAAACCATCATCCCAAAGCCGTACTTTGAGAAAACCCAAAGAAGAGAGACTTGCCTAATTGTCTGACTTACAGGCTGCTGCCTTTCTACAAAACCCCATTGTACACTGGTGAGTTGTTAGGAAAACAACAGGGTTCTACTCACATATAGATATCTCTTAGCCAGTAAAATCTTAACTTGCTTAGAGGCTTCTTGATTGGATACTGTTGGACTGTGGTAGTACAAGAGGAAGGTTTACCAACTTAGCCAATGATTGGAAGTATATCCAGATGCTACTGGTGTCAACCAAAAGTGCTGGCATTGACCCGATGTACTAGGAAAGAGAAAAGGTTTAGCATGGATGATAGTGTTTCTCAAATCCTTTTCTCCTAAATATTTTGTGGGATGCAACTCATTCCCAGTAATTACCATGGCTCACACAAAAATGATTCTGACTTGACTGCAAAGGACTGGAGTTGGGGGTGGCAGGCAGGGAGGGCTGGTGAATAGAATATATCAGGTATAGAGTGGAGACTGGACATATGTGGTTTGGAAAAGCCCTGTCAAGTAATCGTGATATTTACACCCCACCCCACCACCATTATCCTTCTAAGAATCACTGTCAAAATTGAAGTAAGGGAAAATTTGAGTGAAGAAAATTATCAGAAGAAATAGGAGAGAGCCCTTCTGTGGAATATTGTCAGTTCCTTATTATCATCTTGGGGATCTTGAAGAGTACTTGAGGGATGTAGTTTATGCATGGGAAGTGAAAGGAGTTCTTTAAAAGTTTGAAATTAAGTTAATTAGCCAGAAGGAATGCAACATACAAAAATTGGCTAATAGTCTCAGCTCAGTGAAATCCACATCGGCCCAGAGCCCATAATAAGATTTTCTTGTCTTACCTGGTTGAATTCTTGTTTTTGCATACTTGTTGGGGTTCAATCATTCAGCAAACATTTATTGAATATAATATGCTGGGCACTGTGTTAGACGCTTAAGCTATAAAGGATGAATGAAAACCGAGATCTGCTTTGAAGGGCTCATGATATAGTTGGAATAGGAGAGAGATGAGCTAGGTAGGCTGTGTTTGGAAGTAGAGGGAGGGTTCATCAATCCTGATTGCTGAGAAGGGTTCTAACCACTTGCCCTCACTTGGCTAGGTGCCGGATGTGCTCACTGACATTCTACTCAAAGTCGGAAATGCAGATCCACTCCAAGTCACACACCGAGACCAAGCCCCACAAGTGCCCACATTGTTCCAAGACCTTTGCCAACAGCTCCTACCTGGCCCAGCACATCCGTATCCACTCAGGGGCTAAGCCCTACAGTTGTAACTTCTGTGAGAAATCCTTCCGTCAGCTCTCCCACCTTCAGCAACACACCCGGTAAGGCTGCTCTCAGTTTTACCCTACTACCTGACTATGTCCTCCCTGTTCCCCCAAGGCCATGTTGCCTGCACCTACTTCTCTTTTCACATGTCTTCTTTTCCCTTTCAACTTTGTCCTCTGGAACTGTCAATTCTTTCCCATTGCTGACTGTGAAAAATAAAACAGATCCTAGCAGTTTGTGGGACCTGGACAGTTCTGGTCTCGTATCCCAAAGTATGGAACAATTGTTGTGGTTTCTTTGTGTGTCTGTGTTTGGAAATCTTCTGCAGAGCAGGCCCTGCTTGTACTATATGCTTCAGTTCAGAGCCAAGGTGTGCATTCTCAACTTCAGGTCCATGGGGAACAGGCGATATTGGTCTTTGTTCAGATTACTATTTGGAAGCAGGGTATCTGTGGTGAGTGTGTAACCTTAGAAAAACAACAACAAAGGGTTGACAAGACTGAATATTTAAGTTACCAGGATCCATGGGTTGCAGCTATTCATCATCTCACTGCCATTCTAGCCACCGGCTAAAAATCAGCAACAACCTAGATCTGGGTGTCCTCTTCATTAGCCTCTCCAGGATGGAGTGTCTTTGGGAGGAGGGAGGAGGGGGTGCTTCCACCGTCAAGCAACATCATTTTACCCAGCAGAGAGCTGAGCCCGTGGTGTCGAACTGCTTCCTCCTCCCCCCTTCCTTCCTCTCCTCTCCGGCAGGATCCACTCCAAGATGCATACGGAGACCATCAAGCCTCACAAGTGCCCGCACTGCTCCAAGACCTTCGCCAACACATCCTACCTGGCCCAGCACCTCCGTATCCACTCGGGGGCCAAGCCCTACAACTGTTCCTACTGCCAGAAGGCCTTCCGCCAGCTCTCCCACCTCCAGCAGCACACACGGTAAGGGAGAGTGGCGGGCTACTGCCCCCGTCCCGCTGGCATGCCCTCCCCACCCCCGCCCTGGATACACACATCAACCCGCATGCGGGGGGCGGGGGAGAGACCTGGCTGGAGGAGAGACCTGGCTGGAGAAGAACATCACTGGCCTCTAGGAGAAAGAAGACCAAGCAGCAACATTGGAGGCACAAGTGGACACTTAAGAGAGAGCTTTTCTGGGCAAGAGCAGCACAGCGTTGGGAAGATACAGTGACTGTGATAGTCCCTACTATGTTGGAGGCAAACATCTGGAGCTGAGACAACTCTTTCTTCCCTTGTTTCTCCCTCTGAAAACAATCATGCACACTTCTTGCAAAAATTTCTCCCTGATAACCAAAGCAGAGGCATTTATTTGATTGGAAAAGATCACACCTCCAAGCCCTTAGGGAAGCAACTATGAATTGGAGATATAATCAAATATTAGCTGGATATCAGCCTGGTAACCTGCAAAATAACAAGCAAGCCTTTGAGGACTGCCAGGAATAGATGGGAAAAATGTACGAAATATTCACAGAAAACTGGCACACAGAAAATGAAAAAGTTCATACTTCTTCAGGATGCCCACTGTTTGTCCTATGAATCTGGAGTGATTAGGAAGAAATTAAACTTGTCAACTAGAAAAGTAACAATCTTTGACTGTATCTCAAGTTCTTATCTGGCTGCTGCTTTATGTGATGATCCTACTTTCATACGGTCAGATTTCTTGCCTTGAGAAGAGGACTCAAGCTATCCTAACAAGGAGGAGAAATGTCTTGCAATGTTTTCAAGATTTCAAATCAGGTCCAAAAAATCACCGGGTCACAAGGATGGTTCTGAAGTCCCTGATGAGGAGTCGGTGTCAAATACTCTCAAATCCTTGCCTTACTTTAGTGAAGGTCCCAGTAGTATTGGGAGTAGATGGTCAGTTGGTTCCAAACTAGGAATAGCCTGTCATTAGAGAATGGACTGGGAAAATACCCCTTACAGTTTCCATGAATATTAATGACACTGTTACTCTGCTTTTCATTGACACCAGAGCTTTCTGTGGGTGATGCTCAAGGCTGTGAGGATGGTTTCTGTCTGCAAGGTGGGGACCAAGGAAGAAATGTTGTGATTTTCTTTTTCTGTACCATGATGTTTTTCTGATGTTTCTGAATATTGATGATGGACAGTTGCTATAGAACCTGATTTGTGTGCCAAATTGTGGAGTGCTTGCAGAAAGGAGGCCCAGATTGAGCTAAATGATGGAGGCAGTGATCAGAAATCAGGCCTTAAAACCTGAAATGAGTCAGATGATGTAAGGCTGGTGCCTCCTGGAGACCCACCTGATGGAGTCGTTTAAGAGGTCAGGACTTGCCTTGGAGTGTGTGAAGGAGCTCATCCCTGGGTGGCCTTGCTGACACCTTCCCCTTTCTTCTTTTCTCATCCTGTGCAGAATTCACACCGGCGATAGACCATACAAATGTGCACACCCAGGCTGTGAAAAAGCCTTTACACAGCTCTCCAATTTGCAGGTAAATGCTCCACTCTTCACATACAACCTGGCTAGAGTCTGCGACTGTGGATTAGAGTGCCATTTGACTAGTACCCCAGGTCTGAAACTTTCTCAGGACTCCTTTATACCCGAATAGTTGAGGAGGCCAGTGAGCTTTTGTTGATGTAGGTAATCTCTTTCCACACAGAGATGGAAACTGAGAAGCTTGGAAAATACTGATTAATTTCTTTTAAAATTGTTATTAAATAACAATAATAAATATATTACATGTTAACATAAGTAACATACTTTACTAACTAAAAAATAACAAAATTGAAAGAATGGCATTGTTTGCCAGTTTGCACATTTTTTTAGTGTCTGACCTAATAGGAAAAGGCTGGATTTTTATATCTGCTATATTCAGACTTGATGGAATTTAATAACAATATTCAGTCTGTTACAATATTACATATCATGTAACCTCTGTATTATCATTAAGAAACATGTAGAAAGGGCAAATACTATCTTACTATTATTTTGAAAGTAGTTGTAACTTTATGAATCCCCTGAAAAGGTCTAGAGATCCCCATGCTTCACTTTGAGAAGCACCCGACTAGTGGGACTTGTAACTTTCAGAATCCTAGTGTGTGCTGCATGAGGTATGCTTCTTTCCGTAGCCATTAGCTCCTGAAGCTCCATTTGAAGCTATTTTACTGATAGCAGATAGAAAGAGAAGAGGACTGGCTTCTGATGGAAAGAGAACCTGATACACAATTCAAAGCTTTCCATGAAAGTTGGGGAGGAAAAGTACAATGCACTCATCCTAATTTCTCCCATTTATCTCAGTCCCACAGGCGGCAGCACAACAAAGATAAACCCTTCAAGTGCCACAACTGTCATCGGGCGTACACAGATGCAGCCTCGCTAGAGGTGCACCTCTCCACGCATACGGTGAAGCATGCCAAGGTGTACACCTGTACTATCTGTAGTCGGGCGTATACATCGGTGAGCATGCAGTTTCTCCTCCTCCCTTCCCTGCAGTCTTAGCAGACTTCAATACACTTCATCCCATTCCTCTGGATACAGGCCATAGCTGTTGTGGTGAACACCACACTTCCCTAGTTCCAACTTACCAGGTCTGTACAGAGAACAGAAATTAAATAGACCCATAGCTGAAGAATTTAGGGGCTGCCTGATTCCCTAGGTGAGTGCAATGGCTCCATACAATAAGCATTGCAGTCCGTGTTTCGATCCCACCAACATCTGTAGAAACCTTATAAGGGTCACTATGAGTCAGAACCGATTTGACAGCATTTAACAACAGTAACATCAACTGATACCTTAAGTCCATCAATACTGATATATAGTGATTCTCTGTTTCTCTTTAGCATAAAGCAAAATAAAGTTATGTTATGTGAGTTTTGAGGGAGGAAGGTTCCAGTTAGATGTTTGCTAACTAGGCTCCAGAAAGAAGTTATAAAGTTAATTCATTCAGAGATCTTTGAGAAAATTACTTTTTTTTTCTTCTGCCAATTGAATGCCCATCAGGTCTTATAAAAGCTCCCCTTCTGATTGTACTCAGTAGTGAGCACTGAAAGTACTTGGGAGAACTTACTCGTGACTCTAGTATGTCCCTGTATAAATAATAATGATCTATTTCAAAGCATAATAAGAACCCAGAATGCTAGTTACAGGTACATTATTTGCTTGTATTCCATCCCTCAACTTGGTTTTTATCATCTCTTTCAGGAAACGTACCTTATGAAGCATATGCGCAAACACAACCCTCCTGATCTCCAGCAACAAGTTCAAGCAGCGGCAGCAGCAGCAGCAGTGGCGCAGGCCCAGGCTCAGGCCCAGGCCCAGGCCCAGGCCCAGGCCCAGGCCCAGGC